AGTCCAAAAGGGAATGTCCAAAGATGACAATATCTACTAACGGTGGGTTTGGACCGTTACATGTCTTGTATTTCTATGTTGTCTGCTTGCTCCTTGTTAAAGCCTAGTGTGCCTGTAATTATTGTTTTCTACAATAACTTCATAAACTATCGGCTTATAATTTGGTTGGGATCTATGTTCTCATGCCTCATGTTGTCCAATTTTTTGCATTTACGTCCATCTTGATAAGGCGTCTATGTATAGGTTCAACGAGTTTGGCACTGATGGTGGACCTGCTGCAAAGGAATTGCTTCCAAAGTTGAACACTCTTAGGTCAAACGTCTCTGCTAGATTTGGATTCAACCTTCCTGTCATTGATGTAAGCTTTGTTTCTTCTGTGAAATGAACCGAGTCTTTGTACTTTTTGTGAGATCTCACATTATTGGAAAGGGGAACGAAGCATTTCTTATAAGAATGTTGAAACCTCTACCTAATAGACGTGTTTTACAACCTTGAGGGAAAGCCCGGAAGGGAAAACTCAAAGAAGACAATATTTGCTAACGGTGGGCCAGCGAGGACACTGGCCCCCCGAGATTGCACATTGATGGAGAGGAGAATGAAGCATTCCTTATAAGGATGTAGAAACCTCTACCTAGTAGACGCGTTTTACAACCTTGAGGAGAAGCCCGGAAGGGAAAACTCAAAAAAGACAATATCTGCTAACAGTGGGCCTAAACTATTTCACTTTTTTCGCTGTCGTATTCACATGCGAGTTCATTTTATAGGTTTCCCATTTAGTTGCTGCATTCCTGTCTCTGAAAGGCATTGGCGGGCTACTCTTTGTTTTTGGGAGTCAGATTGGAGCTCATCTTCTGGTGGAATTTTCTTTGCCTCTTTTTGATTACGCCTTTGTTACTTGGCAGTTTATTCTGTTTCCCACTATAACACCAAAGTTGGTTTCTGTATGCAGCTTCTCTACTTGGCAATTAGCAGCCCAATTCTGTTTGATTTCTTCAACTATGGCCGTGGGAATTCCCAATATAGCCTACTATTGAATGGCTTCTTATTGGTCAGTTCATCTAATTGATGCCAATTCATTCATGTCCCTGCAAGCTTCCTTCTTCTGGGTTATGATTCGTTTTTCGTTTTCGGTTTGCAGCACGTCGCACTTGCTGGTGCATTGCTCTTCTTCATCGGCACGAAGAACTCGATTTCGAGGAGGCAACAGAAGAAGAAGGCACACAAAGCCAAAACAAACTAGAAATGTAAGAGAAACCACTGCTTCAACTCGAAATCGTTCCTTTCAATTTCCTTCGCCCGAGTCGGGGCTCGGGTGGAAAGATGGGATTGGATTGGATTGCTTGATATTGATGTGGGATTTGAAAAAGCTTCTTATTTATAATTCCTTTTTGTAATCATAGGTTTACTCATTTAGGAATTTTAGTCCTCTTTTGACTGTCAAATGGATATGAAAGGATTTAAGCATATGTTTTTCTCCATTCAAACTGTTTTACGAGGATTAGAATCTTTTGTTCAGTTAACCTTATTTGCAGAATTATACTGTCGATATGCATCGTTTTGAATGTTGATAACTCTCTTGGAGAATCATCTAAGGATATCTTGGCAGAAGTCTCGTATCAATGAACACGTTTTAAAATCGAATCATCATTTTCTGAGTCTGTTTTATGTACGTGTACTTTTGTTGTCAAAAACTTATGTTGGTTATTTTGAGTTGTAAAAATTATATGGTTTTACGATGATTGGTTGTAAATAACATGATTCACATGTTTTACTAGTGTCAGTAGGGTGATTCGAGCCAATTGGAGTTGTGTTTTTTTTTTAAATTTCTATAAAAATATATAATTATAATTATTTTCTTAAATTAATTCTAATTATTGAATAAGGCATGTAATTTGCTAATACACAATTTCTATAATGTTAAAGTTCTAAATATAGAGAGAAAAAGGAAGGGGAACTGGGAGAGTGAAAGACCCACATCGGAAAGGCTGATGGAGGGGGAGGGAGCTGAGTTCTATAAATACGGGCTGACAAGCAAGTGGAGATTTAAAAGGGTCGGTTGGCTAAATATGCCGCTCTCGCTCACAACGAGTGGGTGCTGTATGGCAATCTAGACATATGGCCGACATAATTTGTGGAAACTTCATAGGGTTGGCCCAATTAGCTGACCCTCCAATCCTCTCACTTCCAAATATTTATTTATTAGTATATACCACTTCCAATCAAACATTATTTTGTAACTAGATTATTTGAATCCTCAAAAACACAACTAGATTATCACAATTTTCAATCAAAGTTTAAAATAAAAAAATATCAATAAAAAATTTTAAGTTTTTTATATATATTTAAAGTCAAATAAATGATAAAATTAATAGAAAATTCGAAATTAATAATAGACACGTGTCATTAATAGGTCTTCAGGTGAGATAAGCTTATGGGCATTTTTATCTTTTTAAGTTGTTGGATTTAACATTTTGTCATATTTATAAATAGTTTCTGGCTTATTCTCTTATATTAGATTTCTACATGTAATTGCCCATTTAATTTTTTCTTTCAAATTTGATTTTTTGTTTTAAAATTTAGTTTAGAATACAAACAAGGAATGAAAAAAATTAATAATAATATATATATATTTTTTAACGAAACAGTATAAATTTTAAAATTAAAACAAAATAGTTATCCGGATAAAAAAAACTTACATCAAATTAGCAAAAATTTAGAGAAAAAAATGAACTACCATTATGAATTAGGGAGTAATTGAAAATTGATTAAATTCAAATAAGCATACAAATATATATTTATTTAATTTGACACTAAATATAGGACCCATTGAAAGCTTGCAAAAGCATGGACTACATCAAAATTATGCAAATCTATAGGGACCAATTATATAATTTAATATTCATTCATTTATTGAATATTTCTGCAGTCTATTATTATTTATATCAGGATTCCCTACACCAATTCAACAACTTTTCAAAGGTCTACAAAATACACACAATTAAATATTGGTCAAATTTAGTGTTAAATTTAGTCCACTTCATAATTCAATACAACACCCAATAATTGTTTATCATCACGTGCTAGCTTTTACTATCAATTATGAGAAAATGAGCTTAAACCCTATTATTATTTATCTTCCAATTAAATATACAAATCCTAAAATTCATATTTTAAAAATACCCTATAACATTTTAAATAATTATTTCAATTTTATAAATTAACAAAAAAAAATAATGCAAATATCGGTATTACTTTCTATTTTAGTTATTATAATTAAATTATGCAATTTTCTTATAAGATGAAATTTATCAATATTTATTTTCTTCCTATTACATTTAATTTTTCTAAAATTCATTTCTGTCAGGTAAATATTAATTTTATATGCATCAATTTTTTTGTTTATAAATTTTAATACAGTTGGATAAAATGAAATTTTGAAAAGACAAGGGCCAATTTGAAAATAAGTAGAAACTGAAGGGTCATTTAATATATTTTAACGTTCTTTTCTTTTCAAATTATTCGTAACCAGTGGCGTTCGATCAAACAAATATCCACCATACACGTGTCCTCTTATCTCTGCTTTCTAAGAGGTTCTCATTTTGACCATGTTCCTTAAAATCTGACGTCATTATTCCTAAACCCGCCGCAACGTTGTTGAGACCAGTCAAAATGATGCCACGTCGGAATCATACCTGTCACCTCCTGTTTTACGTCACCCTTGTCTGCCACGTGTTAAATCTGTATTGTAAGGCATCAATTCCCATGACCATTATTATTTAATTATTACTAATCAACCAGATAAGATGAAAAATTAGTAGAGCTCACGTGGTCTAAACAACTTTAATTATCCAACTCAATGTTTAATTTTTAAAATTCAATTTCTAAACGTTAAGTTGGATTAATTTTTTTTGAAAAATTAAAAAAAAAAATTGATTTGATTGGCAGGGTCAAACTTTTTGATCAGATCAACTCGACTTATTTCCAATTTCTAATTTAACCTAATCATACCTATTTTTAAGATTATTATGAACGGATAGAGTTTATAATTTAACCCAACCATATCTTACTTTTAAAATTGTTATAAATAGATGTTAGTGTTAAATTGTAATTTGTAAATGTTTGATATTTGAAATTTATGAGATTTTAATTATTAACTTAACATTGACGGTGAATAAATAATATTAAAAAAAACAACTCAACAAACCCAATCCAACTCGAACACAATGGAATTGAGTGGGTGTAACCACACAAAACCTATCGTTAGTAGATATTATTTATCTTTAGACTTTATCTTTCGGGTCTCTCCTCAAGATTCTTAAAACACGTCTACTAGAGTAAAGTTTCCAGACCCTTACAAAAATATTTAGTTCCCCCTCCAACCGACCTCGTATCTCACAGTTGGGTTTTGAACCCTTTTTGAAGTATTGAGATCCCTGATTCAACCCATTCAAATTTTTCGTAAAAATCTAGAAAAAAAATTAGAACACGAGAATTTGTGTATTTTTTTTGTTTGAATTATTTATTAAAATAATGTGAGAAAAAAAAAAACCAAAACAGGGGGAAGTTTGAATTTTAATAGGGATGGTTTAGAAATTTCATAAAACATTTTTCATCAATAAAATAAATTGGTCAAAAGCAATGGTTCCAATCCCTTTGTATTTTATTCCTTTTAAATTAAAGGAATATCTTTCTTTCTTTTTTTTTTTTTTTTCAAGATTTTTCTTCTCCTCATAAT